TGACCCTAAACATCTCAGCCCAAAGTCCAAAGTCCTTTACCTTGCTTGGTTTGTTTTCTAGTGCCATCTAATATCTCTCTGGTTTATCATAATGTTTGACTTTAAGATGTGCTTTTTGGGGGAGCAGCAGGAGGAGGGCAGAGAGAATTCTCAATGTTTGGCTCAGGTGGCACTAAGGATCCACACAGGGCAAGCTGAAAACATTAGAAGTGACAGGTGCCCTTTGGCGATTTGCAGCTCTGGGGGAGTAATCGGGAAGGGCACATGTCTGGAAATCATGGATCTGGAGGTTTTAACCTTTCTGTCTGCCTTGGCTCTCCTCCACCCTTAAAAATGTCTAACACAGGGCCAGGTACAGTGGCTCACTCCTATAATCCCAGCACTTTGGGAAGCGGAGGCAGGAAGATCACTTGAGCTCAGGAGTTCAAGACCAGCCTGAGCAACATAACAAGAACCTATCTTTCCAAAAATAAAAAATAAAAAAATTTAAACTACCTGTGCATGGTGGCATGCACCTATAGTCCCAGCTACTTGGGAGGCTGAGGTGGGAGGATTGCTTGAGCCCAGGAATTCAAAGCTGCATTGAGCTGTGATCAATCCACTGCACTCCAGCCTGCCCAACAGAGCAAGACCTTATCTCAAAAAAGAAAAAAAAAAAATGGCTAACACTACCACATATGGCAATTGCCACAGGCTTGTAGCAGCCTATGATATCAATAAATATTGTTAAAAGGAAAGAAAATGCCAGACAAAAGAGAAATGAGCAGCTTAAAGCAGGCCTTCCTTGTTCTCTCACCTTAGGTAGCTCACTGTTGAAAGTACATAATCTCAAGGCAAAGGGGTCGCCAAGAGCAGCTCACCCAGCTCCTCTGCTGCTTTGTGTCTCAGAGCCGCTTCCCTGCTACTGTCCCTGTCAACGCTGTGTTGGAGCCGGAACAGAGGAGCTTGGAGCGAGGCTGAGAGAAATGAAGGGATAATGGAAGCATTAGGATTTGCAGGGTGGTAAGATGGGGTATGGGGACTGCAACAGGTGAAGAAGGAGGTGTGTTTGGAGCAGTGGCCCCTCCCTCTCCAGGATGAAGATTGCTCCCTTGGTAAGGGGGCTGAGGGGACCCTTCTACCAAAAAAAAATATATATATATATATATACACACATATATATGTATGTATGTATTAAAGCAATTTCTGTTCATTACAGAAATGTAGATAAAAAAATGCAAAGCCTGTAAAATATACCCATAATCTGTCCCCCTCAAAGATAATCACTGTGTGGATCTCTTATTAAAAGACCGTGCATACCAATGGACCATCATACTCCACCTCAAAAGAAAAGTTGTTTTGTTAGTGTCTGTTGATTGTGAAAACTCAAAGTAATAAACAGCCAATGTGAATTTAGCATCGATGCACATTTGGAATGAACAGTGCGTGGCTGAAAGAGACTACTTATTCAGACTGTAGATGAGGATTTGTGCACATCTTCTCACCTTGCCACAGCCGTGCTCCCTTCCCCCCTACACGCAGCCGGTGATTCCACTCACACGGCCCAGTGCTGTGGCAGGAATGCATAGGTGAAACCACTGATTAAAAATACTTACCATGCGTGTACTATGTTTAAGGCACTGTGCCCAGATGCTGGGCATGTGCTTGTGGGGGAAAAAAATATCCAAGCCTAATACCTGTGTTCTTTTATTCTACCAGGGGGAAACTGACTCCGTTGTGAGGTCTTTCATATGTGATTTTTGCTAAAAGCCAATTTAAAATATTTGCAAATGATTCACTTTTTAAAGAAATGAATTAGAGTGGATACAACTTTATTTCTTTGGTAATATGGCTCTCACTGCCACTTTCAATTTGCTGCCTTGGGTGAGAAAGGAGGAGATGGGGTTATGGTTAGCACTTAGGAAATTGTAGATAATAACCCCATGCCTTTCCAAAGTAGAATATCATATGTATAAGCATTCTCTGTCATACTCTCTGTTCTAATTCACCGGGGGAAAAAAGCAAAGAGCTCTTCTTTGTGGAATCCATCATAATGGGTGGCTCTGTGGGCAGACATGGTACCCATGGGATGAGTCATGGACCTTCTGCAAATACCTAGTGTTGCAGTTCCTGGAAGCAAAATGATCTTCACTGATAGGAGAAAGGAGAAAGTGAACAGGTGTGATTGCAACAAGTGCAGCAAACATTTGCTGATGATGTCACTGTGCTGGGCACTGGGACACAGTGGGAACTTGTGGTTGGGGTGAAGAAGAAAGTGGGCTGAGCAAGCCACAGACACGGTACACTATGTCTAGCTCACAGTTAGATCAACTGTTAAAAGAAGGAACAATAATCAGTTTGCAGAGTTTCACCAAGGGGGTGACTATTGTAAGGTAAGGATGGTCTGGCCAACAAAGAAGGAAATGAGAAAGCACCATTCCCGGCAGAAAGAGCAGCATGTGCAACCTCACAGAGCCTGGAAAGTCATGACATGCAAAGCGTGAAGAATCAAGGTGAGTCTGCAGAACCAACCGCAATGAGCACGCAAAGCTAAACAGGTAAGCTGGGTCCAGGTGAGTGTAGCCTAATGCCATGTTGTGTTGGGATTTAATCCTGAGGGCTAGCGTTCCCAAACAAGCACATGTTACACCCTTGTTGGCACATCAGGTCATTTTAGAAACATTTTTTAAAATCATTATTTACTTCTTTTAATTTTCCTTCATGGTCAATGGAAAAAAAAATAACACATGGAAATTGAAATTTAATGAACATTATTGCTTAGGACATGGGCAAGTTTAAAAAAAGAGTAAGTGGATTTAAAGAAAATATTAAAGCTTTGTAAAGAGGGTACACATTACATACAGCAAAACAGAGGATAAAATTGGGAGGCCAATCATGAAAGTTGGAGAAACACCCTTCTGGACTTAGATGGGGGAGCCACAGGAGCAAGAGGACTGGGTTTATGGGATGTTACTTTGCTTTCCAAAGATCACACAAGCATCAGAATGGAGGATATGCCAAGGCAAGTGGAGGACAAGGTTGGAACTCTGGTTTGGGAGACCACAGAGTAGTCCAAGAAAGAGACCTCAAAGACTGAGACGACGGCAGCGACAGTGTCGACAGAGACCAAGGGGCAGATTCAAATATGCTTCCCCTGCTTCCTGTCAAAGCAGAACACAGCCTGGCAAGCAGGCAGGAAATGAGGAGGAGAGATGGCTTTATCCCAGATTGTTATCATTTATGCTTCCTTTCCCAATAACTGGTATTAGAATCATAACATCATGTGATGGTGATGTTTTCTCCCGGTGCCCGGAAGCTGCAACTCTAAGTGCTCATAAACATCTTTGGGGATGGATGAACCGGGGAGTATGAAAATGGACTTTCTGCGTTAGTCATTACAGCATCTGGGCTTAACTGTCAGCCACTTACAACTGGCCACATGCAAAGAAATGCATCTTTTAAATTCATAGTTGGCACCAGATATAAAAAAAGAATCCAATTTATACCAGGTGGATTAATAGTTCTTTTAATCCTCACTTTTTCCTGCTTGGCATTCATCTTCATTACCACTCCTATCACCACCCTGATTTTCCTCTAAAAGGCGCCCTTCCCCCCACTTTAATCCTTGTGTTGGGATGGGCCTAACCCCACCCCTTGCCTTCTCTAGTTGGATACAAATCTCAGGTTTGGCCAATCAGAGCATCCCATGCCCTGGCTGAAGTCACAGGCTTACAAATAGGCATATGGTACAAGCCCAGTCAAGGAAACTCAGCCTGGCATGTTTCCATGGGACTATTTAATAAAGAAACATAGAGGGAAGTAAAACTCAATGGAAATCAAGCAGTGGGGAACGAGGAAGAGGAGAAGGGTGAAAACTTACCTAACAGGTGCAATGAACACTATCTGGGTGATTCAAGCACTACAAAAGTTGTACATGTAACCAAAAACATTTGTACCACCATAATATTTTGAAATTAAAAAAGAAAAGAAAAGAAACATTTTTCCCTATGTTCAGATTCCAACCTGAAGTGCAGGAGGGCATCACGATGTGGAGGGAGAATGAACCTCACCCAGAGAGACATGGACCTTTGGGAGACAAAGACTCTATTTCCTAATGGCACTAACTGGCCTTGTGGACACAGTTTCTCTCTCTGGACTTTCTAGTTTTATGAGAAGATATCCGCCTGTATTTTCCTCTCAGAGCAATTTGAACTGAGTGTCTGTCATCTACAACCACCCAGCTCAGCTAGTCCCCCTGGGACTGGGATGGAACGGGGGAGCAACAGCGGAAAGGAGGCAGGCATTGCTGGGGAGAGGGGGGCGAGCATCTCAGCTCTCATTTTTAATTCGACTTTGTGACCATCTACCGAGAACTTGCCACATGAAAGCAATTGTGTTAGATGAGGCTGGTGAGGGGAGTAGTTAGGAATATAAAGACCTAAGAGAGTGGTCTGAGTCCTTAAAATGATTAGAATCCGTTCAGGTTAGAGCAAGGTAGTGCAACCTCTGGACTTGGCCTCTACCAAAGCCAGCTCATTGCCACCTTCTCTCTTATTCTGTACATGTGATGATTTCTCCAATCCCAATGAGGAAGTTGACACCATCAGCCAAAAGCTCCAGAATGTCCTTGTCATATGCTCAATGTCTGGGCAAAAGTAGCCCTCAAGAAATTTAAGTATACATTAAAAAAAAACAACACCCCAAACTAAAAGGTCACATGCAGACTGAATGATGAACTATAACAACCTTTCCCATGACTTTTCCTCTTCTTGCATCTTCTTCTCTATTGAGTTTGTTTCTCTGTCTATTGTATCTTACATAGATGCATAAAGTTGAGCGTGGCATGAAACATTTGGAAGGAACAAAGAAAAGGCAAGGAGGTAAAAAGAAGGCAAAAGAAAGGAGGGCGGGAGGGAGGGAGGATGGGAGGGAGGGAGGGCGGGAAAGAAAGAAGGAAGGAAGGGAGGGAGGGAGGAAATAAATATTGGCTGCCTCTTAGAGTTTGTTGGCATGGAAACATTTCTCTGTACAAAGACTCTAGTACAAATTGCAATGCTACTATGTATCAATCTCACAAAATAACCACTAGGTAGAGATCACAAAGGACTACCAAAGAAATGCAAGCTGAAGGGAAGCCTGGATACAAAGTTGGACGGATGTACACTGGAAATTCACAGGGAAGTATCCAGGCTGGAAGCTGAAGTCTCTGCAGAGCTGGAGGAGGCTGCTGTTGCCTTTCTCTCCTCTTGCTTAGCCAGCAGAAATCTGGTCATTTGCAGATCTTGCCTGCCCTTAGATGTATGGCCATTTGTTATTTCTGCACATGTGGAGGACTCTTCTCCCTCCCGCCTCCTAAATAGAACCACTGGGTCTGTAAGCACAGCCAGAATTCAGCATGCAAACATCAACACCATGGATTCCTTCTTGCTTTTATAGCTGTGCACCTCCTTCTTCCTGCCTTAAGAAACCTTATCTTTAGCCTCCCTTGCCCAGCTGCTGAATTCTCAGTGTGTCCTTTCAAATTGAAGGACACATATTTATGGCTCTTCCTCTGAAATTAAAATCCAGGATAGGTAACACACATGGGGAAAGGAAGCATCCTTCAATCTTGAATGTGCTGCCGAGTGAGTCAGCACGCAGGCTGGTTTGAGGGAAATAGTCAGAAATGTCTGTGAAAAACAAAAGCCAGGAAATATTAATTAAATGATGATGCTTGCAATACTTATTAAAATGATGACCACCCCAGGAATCCAACATGGGCAACCCCACACTTGCAGCAGGATGAATGGGATGTGTGCACATCTGAGTTTTGATAAAGATATGCAATTGCCACCTCAAAAGCCTGTTTTAAGAAGTAGGAATATATATGCTGTAAATTAATATTAAACTCAAATTCCCACCTGCCTTTAGAAAGACCTTTCAGCAAAACTAGCACGTGAGACCAAATTAAGGCATCAGAACCCCATAGATTCTGGCAACCCCTGGGAATAGAGTGCATTGTCTGTCCTTTATAGGATGTGTCAAAATGTCACCAAAAAACTGTTCTTTCTTTGTTTTCTATCGACTGCGAAGAAAGAACATCCAATTGGTATGGGATTTAGGTTTTCGTTCAGTGGCCAAAGAATGGAGAAGGGGAAGCTCATGCTCTGAAGGCAACTTCTCCTCCAGCAAAGGGAGGTGTGGGAGTTTGAAAGGGTTAGACACAGGATGGAGGAGGTGTGTGAGCATGTGCAGGGTGGAGCTTCAGATGCACAGATGCAGTCCACGTACATGCTACTTCATACATCGCATGTGCAGAAAATGGTGGCGATTCTCACTGGAGGGAGTGGTTTTTAGTATTACAATGGTCTGTTGACGATTTAAAGGTAACTGGAAGTCACCTGCTCTGCTCTGGTCTGCAATGACTTTGTGCAGGTCTGGACTTCCTCTGACATCCAGCGGGGGTGGGGGGGGTCATGTGCGTATTTTTAGCATTCGGGCCATCTGACGTCCCTGAGTAGCTGTGCCTCTAGATAAAGAGACTAACGAAAAATTGTTAAAAGAATGAATGAAAAGGGGGGAAGACTGTTAAAATTTTCCATTTGCTTTGTCAGCAAAAGGACAGCCATGCAGTCCCCAGGGGCTGGGAAAGTGATCATTTCAGGAGGGAGGTGAAGGCACCGGGCTAGGACAACACAGATCTCTTTAGGACAAGGTGATTGATCCAGGAACTGTATCAGGAGCATGAGATGGGAAGAACATCAGAGAAAACCAAAGAGATAGTCTGGGGTCAGGAAAGACTATTTTAGGGAATTTGAACTTTATTCATAGGCAGTGAGGTGCCTTGGAAGGTTTTGGGGCAATCAGATCGATGCTTTTTGAAAAGTCACTTTTGAGACGTAATCTTAGCATAAAACTCAGAGCAAGCACTTCAGGAAATTAATCTTTCTATGATCATCTGTTCTTAAACCTTTATGGGACATTGGTGAATCTGGGTATGGCAAAAGCAGCACAGCATCCTCATTTGTCTCTGGTCATTGCACCGCAGTAGGCTGGGCAGGAGACGGGGAGGGGCTGGAGGGTCTTCTGTTTTAGACCCACCTTTGGAAGCAACCACAGCCGGGCCCTGCAGGCCACACAGTCTAAATGGAACCACTCTGGGGAGAGTTGTCAGCTCATCACACCAGAGACAGAGACAACCATTTACAGAGAAATCATCCCTTCCTTCTTTGCACAGCCCAGACAAGAGTTAGGTCAATCGATAATACCATGAAAAATTTAGATTAAAGGAAAAATGAAAAATCGCCTGCTTTTTGGTGCTTGTAGCATAACAACAGGCTACGACATTGCTTAGGAACAGATTCTAGCTTTTGTAGGCTCCCTCACTCTCAGGCTCAGGGCCTTGATTGACTCCCAAGCCCTTTGTGCCTGAGCCCTTGGCATCTTCAACAACAGTGAACTCCATCTTCAGCTCACAAAGGGTGCCTGCTGCAGTGATCTGGCTTCAATACCCTAACACAGTGCTCCTGTGTCCTCCCATCTCCAGCTGAGACTCCTCTGCCTGCAGTTCCAGAGCTCCCTCTCTGACTCTCGGTAACACGTGCCTAGCCCCAGCTGTCCTTGTCCGCCACTGAGGACACTCATCCACCTTCAGCCACCCTCCTCCACCCTCGACCACCCGCATTGGTCGGTCCTCCACTCTTCCCTCCTGACCTTATCTCTCCCAACAATCCTCGTCCCTCCCTGACTATCCTTGCCCTTTTTTGTGACTCCTTAGCTTGCATCACTACCCTCATACCTGGCCCCTCAACATAGTAACGAGAGTAATAAGAATGATGCCCTCTCTCTAGCACATGGAACATTTTCTACTTGAGCAAATATCTCCAGAAGGAAGGATTTATATAGGAATCATAATCCTTTGTGTTTAGTGGCAACTTACTTCCTCGACAGCATTTTACATCATTGTTGTCTAGTCCTCGTAAGCATCCTGTAAAGAAAGTGAGATTTTCCCCAGATGAATACATTTCACAGATTAGGAAGGTGAGGTTGCAAGTACAAGAATAAGGCCCAGGGACATCCTACTATTCCCATTCACAATAGTGGATGCCATTTAGTGTCACACTGCAGTATGTCCACAAGAGGCACTTTCTGCACATGGCGTACCATCCTCGTAGTCCCACAAGGAAGGTGTGTTACAAATGAGGACTCAGGAGCTCAGGGGACCCCAGTGACCAACTCAAAGCCAACTGAGCCAGCAAATGGCAGAATAGGGACCAAGAACTAAGGCCCTCTAACTCTTGAGTCTTTCTTTGGTATCAGAAATAAAATCATTCATAGTCTGATGTTATGAAAGTCATGGGCATTTCTTTTTCATGAACATGTCCATTTTTAAAAGGGAGAAAAATTCCCTTTCAAGGTCAAGAAAATATTTCTGGTTGGAAGAATTGTCTGAAAAATTGTACCAGAATGATTAAAGTTTTCACGGTCCCTCAAGTGATACTTTGTACTTCTAAGTCATTCCTGTTTCTAACACCAAAAAAAGAAAATAGGTCAGATATTGAAGTTATCTTCCTTCTACTACATTCTCCTCTGTTCTCCGCCTCTTTCTACTGCGGAGCACATTTGACTCCCTTGAGTTAAGGCGCAGGAAATGTGAGACGCTGTTATGCAAATCACAGAAGGGAAGAGCAAGCCCAAGAAAAGGCAGAATCTTCCCGGGTGGAGGTTTTTTGAATTACTGAGCTTTAAGGTAAATAGAAAGATTAAGCAGTGACCCAGTTTGACCTCACATGCAGATGGAAGGCTCTTAGGAAATTGTGCCACGAAGAAAAACTCAGAAGGAAAGGTAAGGAATGTTGACTGAGGGCAGAATCACATAGCAGTTAGGGCCCCTGTTCTGGCCCTAGACTGCCTGCGTTCAATTCCCAGCCCCAATTCCTGACTGTCTCAGTTTTCTCCTCTCAAAAAAAAAGGGAACAATAATGAAAATATTACCCACCTGAAATGGGCAGGGAGGCGCTGAAGAGTTGGCGTGTGCAGCCTGCAACACGCAGGCCCTGGCACGCGTATTAGACGCAGCGTGGATGACAGAGAGCCGTCATTACTGAGCACCCATTCCTGGGTGAGCTCGGGCCACTTCCTATGCTGGGTGAGTCGGCGGCTTTGCTTACGAGATGCAGAGCCACATTCAGGCTGCAGCGAGAAAGAGGAGTTTCCCGTAAGATGTACAAGAAATGAAGAAGAATGGGGAACAGGTGCTCAGCCAGACCACAGGGACACTGGGATGCTGTTCAGCACATGGGAGACGCTGTCCTGAGCCATCATCAGGTGACAGTTGGTGACCGAATGGATAACGCACTGTGCCGAGTCTCATGTGCCACTGTCAGGGCAATGAACTGATGCCATCTAATTGCAGTTACTTCACATTGCCTTACACAGCCCTGTGAGGTAGGGATTGTCACGCCCCATGTTTCAAAATGCATCCATCTAGGCATGGTTTTGTCCAGAATGATATTAACTCATGCACTCTAGAAGTCAGGCAGAAGTTCAGACATTTTGTTGAATTTAAACTTGAGAAAAGTTAGACTTCTCTAAGGGATTCCAATTCTGACTGTCTTTTCGCCTCACTAATCCTTAAACATGCAAAGCTATAAATATTTTGTGGAAAGGTTTATGGCATTTTGCCACATGTTCTTGATTTTATTATCACCTTTCCTAATGAAGGATCAACACATATTTATTTCAGAAAGGAAGATGGGATTTAGGAAAAAAAGAGGAGGAGTGGAAAAAGCAATTTACAACTGATGTTTCCCAAATTAGGTGCATGTCGAAATCACCTGAGAAGCTTATTTTAAAAATAACTCTATTAAAGTATATTATTGAGGTACCATAAAATTCACTCATTTAAGTGTACAATTCAATAATTTTTAGTAAATTTATATAGTTGTGCACCTATTACCACAATCTAGTCATAATATTTGTTACCCCAAAATACTCCCTCATGTCTATAAAGTTTTTAATTTTGATTTTGGTTTTAAATCACTTTCTTCTCAAATTACAAAGAAAATCAATGTTGAGTTTGGTGTTTTTCCCATATTTTTATCCATACATGTATGCCCTTACATATTGTCTTAGTCCATTCAGGCTACCATAAGAAAAATATCATGGGGGATGGTCATGATGGAGACTCAGCCTTGTGGGGGGAGGGGGGAAATGGGCATTTATTGAAACCTTAAAATCTGTACCCCCATAACATGCTGAAATAAAAAAGAAAAAGAAAAGAAAAATATCATAGACTGGGTGGCTCATAGACAATAAATATTTATTTCTTACAGTTCTGGAGGATGGAAAGTCCAAAATCAGGGTATTGACAGATTCACTGTACTGAGGAGGGTCCACTCCTCACAGACGGTGCCTTCTTGCTGAGTCCTTCTCATGTGACAGAAGGGGCACAGGAGCTCTCTGGAGTTTTTTGATATACAGGCACTAATCTCCATCAGAGGGCTCAGCCCTTATGACTTCATCACCTCCCAAGCACCCCACCTCCCCAACCCCAATACCATCACCTTTGGGGTTAGGATTTCAGCATATGAATTTGAGGAGGACACAAACACTTAGACCATGGCACATACACAAGGAAATACCACCTACCCATATGTCAGATATTTTTGTTTTAAAATAAGTGGAACCATAGCATATATTCTCATTTATGACCTCTTTCTATTAAAAATGTATATGAGAGATCTTTTCATGTTGGTTCACTTTTTTCATTCTCTTGTCTCCCTAGGATTCCAGAGTATAAATATAGCATAATTCATTTGGACGCCCTTCCCCTTTTTGATGAAAATGTAAATTGTTCTCATTTTTTGTTATTTTTATCTTATATAATGTAGCAATGACATTTGTGTACTACGTCCATATGCATGTGTATATTATTCGTGGAGGACAGAGCCCTAGAGGTGCAACTCCAAGTGGGAACTTTTTAAAAACCATGTATCCTAACATTCTTTCTCTCTTTTCTCAGTCCAGCAAGTGTTTAATGTATTGAATTTGGGTGGAGCCCAGGGCCCTGTATTTTTGCCAAACACCTGCACCAGAGATTCAGATATAGCTAGCCTGGCACCATCTGCAGACTGTCATTGTAGAGTCAGTGTTTCAAGACAAATATCAGTGACTTCGTATGCAGAGAATTGTAGGTTCAAATCCCAGCTCTGTCACTGCAAGTGGCACAGCCTTGGACACCATTCATTCCTGCTTATGCCCACCCACCCATTCATTTACTCACCATTTAGTAAGTAAGAATTGAGTATCTTTTATGTGCTGAGCATAATTATCAGTCAGCAGGTGAAATAGACATAAAAACAAATGAATAAATACAATAAAGTGTCATAGATTCTATAAAGGGGAGGCTAGTCCATTGTTTGTTTAGTAGAGGAGGATGACAGAGTAAATCTGGAAAGACTGTAGAAGATGGAAATCTAAGAGCAAGCCTTGAACTAAGGGTAGTTTCCTGCCAAGGGACCAAAGACAAGGAAGAGGACACAGTGAGAGCAATGGCCTGGTGTGGCATGCATTGTTGAATTTTATGGTACGATGCAAGGTGTAGCAGGGAGGCTGGAGATGGAGACAAGATTGTGGCAGGCTCTCTAAGGTATAGTAGGGTCATCTTAAAGGGTTGTAATCTCAGGTATACCATGGCAGACGTGCATTTTAGCACAACTTCTCTGGCAGGGTATGAAGTAAGAAATAAAAGGGTTTGAGCAAGAGACCCAAGTCATAGAGCCAGTTGGCACGGAGACTCGTCTCCTAGGCCACCACTATTTACATCGTCCATACTAGACACTAGAGTGAGAATCCATTAAAAAGACAGGTAGGGTCTCTTGACCACTGTTGACTTGTCCAGTTATTAAGCTGATTATTCTTTGCCTTGCTTTAATCCAGCACTAAGCCTAGCATTGAATGGTCTTTGAGCAACTGAGCTATGGTAACTGTAAAATCAGAGTCCAAAGCCAGGTGTGATGATTAATTTTATGTGTCAGTTTGGCTGGGCCACAGTGTCCAGACATTTGGTAGAACATTTTTCTGGATGTTTCTGTGAGGGTGCTTTTTAATAAGATTAACATTTAAATCAGTGGACTTTGAATAAAGCAGGTTGCCCTCTTTAACATGGGTGGGCCTCATCCAAGCAGTTGAAATCCAATTAGAGCAAAAGACTGACCTCACCCAACTTAGAAGGAATTCTGCCAGCAGACTGCCTTTGGACTTTAACTGCAACGTCAGGTCTTCCTGGGTCACTCTGGACCACTCTGCAGATTTGAATTTACCAGCCTCCATAATCCTTGAGCCAATTCCTTAAAATAAATCTCTCTATATATGTGTGTTCGACTTATTGGTTCTGTTTCTCCATAGAACCCTGACTAATCCACCAGGGAAGATAGTATGAGTCTGTAGCTGTTCTCTCTGGGGCTAGAAGTATTCCCAAGACCCTGATGGAAATGCTCCTCATTGGAGGAATAACATTCAGAGCAGGGATCTTCTCATGATGCACCAGGGACCTTCAGGTTCCCCTGGAAGCCAATTTAGAAGAGGAATGGGGGAAAGCTACAGAGAAGATGCCAGCCAGGCCTGGACAATCTGGCGTTATAATGTATCTTTCTGCAAATGTCTCCATTACAGCATTTGTTTATAGAAAGCTTTTCTGAACTCTCTCTTTCATTCTTTCTTGCTCCAAGACCTGATACCGGCCTGACCCTGCCCAGAATGCTGCTTTGCCTATTTTCTTTGTGGTTTGGTTTTTGTTCGGTTTGGTTTTCTTATCTTTTCTTCAGGTATTTCCATAAGTCATTCAAATCTCAGAAGGCAGGGTCCACATGTTGCAAATTCTTCATAATTTCCCCATAATCTTACTGATACTTTGTTTTTAATAGTACTTTACCAGTTATAAAATAGTGCTGTATTTAATTAATCTCTTAGCCTCAGTTATGAAATACATAAATGAAGGATAATATTATAATTGGGAATAGTACTATAGTACCTCATAGAATGTTATAAGGATTAAATGAGAATATGCATGTCAAGTGCTTAGCAGCATACCTGGTATTTAATAAATGCTAGGTCTTTTCCTTATGAGATTGTTAAGTTTTGTGATAATTTCAAAAAGCCTCCAAAGTGGACAGGAAACGACCAGTTAACCCTGTTTTATTAATGAATAAGATGAAGCTAGAAGGGGACACACAGCCAATGAATAGAAAAGCCAGAACTTGAATTTAGAACTTCTGACTTCGACGTTATTACTATGCATGCTCAGTTTCTCAGGCACACCATGGACACCGTGAGAATACATACACACATAAAAATTTATGCAGGTCAATGAATAAAAATCATGCATTGCAGCAGTTTATAGATCATGTCAGATGAATAATAAGTGTTGAATAATACTCAACAAAGGGAAAACCTCAATCAACAGTTCTTAGTCTTGCTAAATTTCTCTGTAAAATCTTCAGCAGATCATCAATTCCTCAAATGCCCCAGCAATACAAATGTGGTCACTTTAGCTGTAAGAGTCACTTCTGCTCCAGAAAGCGTGGAACTGTGCCTGCTCATCTATGAAACTCAGCTAGCGTCCTATTTTCCCCACCTCCAGCCTCCATGGCCAGGATTCAATGCTCCATCCTTCATCACTTTTTTCTAGCATCAAAGTTATCTTCCTGAAGCCCCAATCTTATCATAATCTTCCCCTGCGTATCAGCAAACTAAATCCCCTCTCAACAATAGCTCTGGGATCAAGTCCAACTCCCTTCACAAGAACTACAGGCCATGCTTCATTTATTCAATCAACAAATATGTATTGAGCCCTACTATGTGCCGGACAGGGTTCTACATGCTGGGGAAATCAAAGTTCCTGCTTTTGTGGAGTTTACATTCCAGTGGGGAAGATGGATTCACAAGCAAGTAAATGCAAATAAACCAGCTATTGTCATAGTACAGTCTTACCCTACCTTCCCCTCCCACTTCTGCCCACACGCCGCATACTTGCACCCCGTTTCTTTACACCTCCCGCTACCTCATGTGCTTTCCTACCTTTGAGCCTATGTCCTTGTGGACTCCTTTGTCTTGAATGTCCTTGACTGTCCTCTACTTTGCAAAACATATTTATCTTTTAAGACACAGTTCACACCACCGGCTATGTGGCACTTTTCTTTCTTAACTCTGTGTTGTTATGTTCTCGCATATGCTTCGTTGTGTGTCAAATTTATGCTAGGGCCATCCTTTTATATTTTTGTCTTTTTTTTTAGTATAGAAAGTGAGTAAAAAGGAGGTTGACTACAAAAAATGTCCCTTCTTTTTTCCTATCCTTCTCCTCTGTGATTTTAGATGTCAGCTTGACTGGATTACGGGATACCCAGATAGCTGGTAAAGCATTATTTCTGGGTATGTCTGTGAGGATGTTTCTGGAAGAGATTGTCATTTGAGACAGTGGACTGAGTAGAAAAGATCCACCTTGACCCTATGTGGGTGGGCATCAGCCAATCAGCTGGGGGACAAGGAACAAAAAGGCAGAGGAAAGAAGGAAAACTATCTGTCTCTATTCTGGAGCTAGGGCATCCTTCTTCTCCTGCCCTTGGACTCATGACCTCCAGGTTTTCTGGCCTTTGCACTCGGACTTGCACAAGCAGCCCTCCAGATGCTCAGGATTCTGGCCTGGACTGAGGGTTGTACCATCGGCTCCCCTTGTTTTGAGTCTTTGGCTTTGGACAGAGACACACGACCCCCTTCCTGGGTTCTCCAACACTGGATTTCTCAATCTCCATAATCATGTGAGCCAATTCCCCTAATAGACACCCTCGGTATGTCTACTCATCTACATATTCTACTGGCTCTGTTTCTATGAGAACCCTGACTAATACAGCCCCATTCCACTTTTTGCAATGCGACTTAGCAGCCCCTTCTCATCAAGAGGTAGAGTCTATTTCCCTACATCTTGAGTCTGGGCTAGCGTTATGCCAGCTTTCCTCAGTAGAATGTGGCAGAAGAGTTGAGGTTCTTGCTGACTTCTGCTCTCTTGGACCCCTCTGTGGGCCGTGAGAACAAGCATGGGCTAGCTGGCTGGTGGATGAGAGAATGGAACAGGGTTAAAGATAGTCCAGCAGTTCTCGCCAAGGCAAGGGCCCAAGGCAGAAGTAGCAAAGCCACTCAGCTAAGCCACTCTGTGATCAGAATTAAATGCTTATTGCCCAGTGCCCTGAAGGTTTGTGATTATCTCTTACACAGCATTATTGTAGCCCTAGAACACCGATGCAAACGCCATATGGAATCGTCAAATTTTATTACTCTTTATATCTGCCACATCATTGGCATTATTCCACTCATTGATCTATTTGTTCACTTCTTCATTTATTTCTCATTCAAGCAGGTTTGTCTACTACTATGTACCTGACACTCTTATAAGCTTCAAGATTGATAACAATGTATTTTGTGCCTCATCCATAAATGTCA